CCATCGCCAATGATCTTGCCAATTCTGTACAATCCATGGACTGATATTCTTCTTTTTTTAAAGTATTTTCCTTCGCGAGCTGAAAGACACAATGAATGGAATTTGAAATAAGAACCCAAAAATATCCCAAAGGTGTGTGTTTATTTGGGGTGGGTGGGTATAGGATTGGAAAATATAGACCTAAATCTGTATAAGAATAAAACTGGCAAGTTCTGATTTCATCACAAACATTCAACATCACATCCAACAAATACACACACACATGACCAAAACAAAAACAAAAAGCAAAAACCTTTGTTTTTTTTAGTTTTACAGATTTCTTCACAGTAATAAATAATCTWTTATTTTATCTAATATTTTTCAATTTTTAGTTTTAGAATTATTTATGCGAGGAAAGGAGAACATTTTAGGAAGTTCAGCAGTTTAAAATTTAAATATTTTATATATTTATTTTAGTTGAAATATCGAGGTTTCTTTGTTTTAGAATTATTTATGCTAGGAAAAGAGAACATTTTAGGAAGTTAGGTGGTTTAAAATTTAAAGATTTTATATATTTATTTTAGTTGAAATATCGAGGTTTCTTTGTTAGACTGGAACACATCCTACTTTAAACCAATTATCTACCAATTCTTCAGAAATATCCTTAAGAATTAACCAAAAATAAATTATTAAACATATGGCTAAGAAAGAACCCTGGTAACATGAATGCCTAGATATAGTTATGCAATAGAAATCTTAAAATATCCATTAATTGCTATTAATCTATTGCTGCTAAGTGGCACTCTCAAGGGCGGATCCAGGGGGAGGGTCGGGGGGGTCGCGACCCCCCTGTCATTCCTGAGGTCAAATGGGCTTCCTATGGTAAAAATGCGACTGGGATTCCTTTGCCCACAAAATTTACCCCTGAGACCCTCCCTTCAAAAAACCCTGGATCCGCCCTTGACTCTGCATGGTACTGGTTAATAAGTATATGAACCAAAATATRCAATTATTTACTGAAGTAGAAAAGATACTAGTAAAAGGTTGCATGAATAATTGATGAGGGTTTGAGAAAGAGATGGCAGCTGGAAGCAYCATGCTGAGGAACAAATCATTTTAGATTTAAAATCCTAAAACTGTCTGGCTCTTTTCATTGTGAATCTTTAYGCTATTATCTACTGAGAAATATAAGAGAGATAAATGATTTATTAAGTATAATGTAGGAATAAGTATTGGAGAGAAAAAAAAAACAAATGGAAAATGATGTAGACATTGGGAATATTACAGTTGAATGTAATTATGCTGAACAAAAACACCTGCTTTGGTGAAAAGTAAAAACAAAATTTCAAAATCAATCTTGGATAGTTACTTTTCAAGACGATAAAAAAATTTTTTTTCTTAAATGAACAAAAACATTAACTTGTGTTGTAATTAAAAGAAAAAAATTATTAAGAAAATAATGAACAATATTTGAATCAATGAAATATTGCTTCTATATTGTTCCCACAAAAACTAAAGAAAAGAAAAAGAATTTYAGAAGTCTGCATCAGAATTATTTTTACGCTTGAAAACGAGTTCTAGATGTTAATGKACTTAGAGGTGCGCGAGACCATTCTGCTGCAAAAAATGTGTGGGGGAAAACAATTAGCATTTTAAATTTAAATTTGTCTTATTCCTTTTGGAATGTCTTATGAATTGTTTATTTTAAACTACAATTCAAGACACACTCAAGAAGAATGCCCAATAGGAATAAACTGATGTTTATGTAAGTAATAGAGGTGGATAAGCTGTCAGACATAGCATCTGCAGATATATTGGGTATTCCTCCCCTTTTTGAACAGTTAAAAGAAACAAAATATATTACACAGGAAGCAAGAGGAAATATAACTATTTGMTCGACACACATCAAGTGGATGATAATACCTGATGGCTAAGGGTTATTTTTTTGTCATGAATTAAAAGAAACTGGAATCCATTAAACAAGATAGATTATAATCAATATTAATGAATACAATGTTGCTCTGAGCATCTAGATGTACATTAGGACAAGAATTCTTGGTGACAATCATATTTGTGGATTTTGCGTATCATATTATCTTGGAATAGTAATTAAGGTTTAGTGAATGTAACAGGAAGCTAGTAGGTTTATTATTCATTTAGCTTATTATTGCATTAATCTTTCTTTGGATTTTTRAAAAAAATTTGATTTAACCATTTTTTTAAATTTTTTGTTAGAATATCATCTAAGAATTCAAGATCTAGGTGTTCTTGATCTAGAAAATTGAAATCTATAAATTGAAAGACAACATAGGATATAGTATAAACTGGAATATTGGCAAGGACATTTTGAGAAAAGAATTTTTTCCAGTAATTATTTTGAAATATCAGAAGATRAAGGACCATATACATGAAGGGCAAAACTGGCCAAAAAAGGTACAAAAAATTGAATTACCACCAAGAAGCACCTGCTAAATATGTACCTTTTAGGGAATAGAAAAGAAGTCTTTTATTTGCCATACAATGACATCATCAAATATTCAGGTTGTCATGGACACCATGTCCCAAGGGGACTAAATAATGCAGGTGCTTTATTATCTTGGTAGTTGTTAAGAATAAGAAAATATGGAAACTGAGGAACAGTATTTTGATAGATGTCAAAGACCCTGTATGAGATTGGGCCTGACAGACAGTGACAGGTGAAGTGGTGGTCATTTTGGTATCAAGCAARGAGCAAGTGAAAAGGGCATATATATACAGAGTACAAAAGCTCTCAGGGGGCATTATGCTAACACATCCTTGAGCTCAAGATAAAAGGTGCTGTAATAAGTATTCCAAATAAGGCACCATCATAAACATCTGGCACAAATAACTGGGCTTACTGGGGACTAACCAACCACACCTGAAAATCATTAAAGAAGTAATGAATTTATCCATCCTTGTAGAAGAAGAAGAGAAATGAAATAAAGTGGAGAATGAGAATCATTATTGATAAATGTTGGTAAATCATTAACTGAGGGATTCTTCAGCTGTAGACAATAAAATTCATCATGTAGGAAAGATGGCATAATGCGATGTAATCAAGCATCATTAAAACAATCTGACAGTTTTWAATCTCTGATGAATTAAGAGAACAAAGATCAAGAAAGAGTTCAAACAGGTGATAACCAGCCTACGAAGGCCATGAAAAAAAAAAACAATGAGATACACCTTGTGTTGTTATTGTTACAAGCTGGTTCACAAGCTCATATTGAAGGAGGGCCAGACTTCCTATTGGACGACAGTCAAGGCTGACCATGATTKGATAGTGGATGAAAGAGGACCAAGTTAGGAAAAATAGCAATCAAATATCACTAGTGGTCTATCTTAACACACAGCAGGTGTGGCTTTTATTCCTTGCTTGCTTTTTTTTCAAACATTCATTAAAATTTAATTAAGGATTGTTTATAGCCGCTAGAACTAATGGATAGTTTTTCATTGTCTTTAAATTTAAATCAGAAAACAATATCATTATTCAGTTTAATGAATCGATAGAAAACAAACTTTTAATTTCAAGTGTTCTTTTACTTCAGAAAGAAAATTATAAACAGCTGTTTGAATTACAAAGGAATGGAAAAAATAGAATATGCAAGGATGGAAATTAAAAGAGAGAAATAATTTTAAAAAACCCAAAATTGCAAGATAAGATTAATTTGCTTTCAGGAGTATAGTTCTAGGATGATTTCCAAAATATTTGGATAGGAAGAAAGGTAGGAATAAAGACAAAAGACCCAGACTTAGGGAAGAAGTGAACAAGTGGTCAAAAGGTGTTAGGATTKGATTAATATATTTTATTGATTTATTGCTGCAGTTTTCCCATCACCAGTTAGTCCAACTGCATTTCACAGAGTCGATATTTATCATTACTATGATTAATAAGATAGGAACATCCTTTTTTTATGTCATTTAATTTAATGTTACATTTACATGGATTTAGTGCTACAACAAGCTGAGAGACCAAAACCTTAGGYAAATATCTAACATCTCAAGTTTTCATTCACATGTTCGTATCCACTGAAATGATTTCTTACAGAAAAGAAAAGAACAATGATAAATGAAAGGAAGAATGAGAAGGAAATTGGAAATTTTGTTTCTATGATGATTAAATAATTTAAATAATAAATACAATTGGAATAATTCTAATATTCAATTTTTATACAGGTATGTTAAGCCCAATTCAAAAAAATTCTTCATGACCACTTAAACCTAATTTTAGAATTAAAATACAAGTTAAGATGCAAAAAGAAATAATGAAAAAAATCCCACTTTTTGCTGTTTTWTAGTACTTTGTAGCTGTTAACATTCCTTGGTGTGCTGGTCTCTGGCAAATGAATCTTTTAGGAAGTAATGCAATTAAACAGTTATAGCTTTTGTTATTTCTACTAACCTACGTACCTGCCCTTTTGCTATTACCTGCTTTAATTTACACTTTAAAAAATTATCATTTCAAACAAGTCAAGTTTAATGGTTTTTAGTTTTCTGCTTGAACATCTTAGAGATTAAATTCTYGTTCTAAGCCTAACAGCAGTTTTAAATCCTTTATGATGATTTAGTTTTTTTCTTCTTTTTTTTCTTCTTTTATACTAGTTAAACTACTCTCATTCATTTATCTCTTTTATAATGGAGGAATATTCTTTGSTTACTACAGCATTATCACATCATTTACTTGTATTTTATAACATTTAGAAGGCTTTTTTAGTAATTTTTAAGTACTTGAGTATTAGGTCTTTATAGGGCCAAGAAAGGAGCTTCTTATACGATCAGTAATCTTGTTCCAGTGAGTTGATTTCAATTCTCTCTGTAAAGAATTACAAGCAATGGTCAGAGTTTTGTCATCTGCACCTTGTCTGGTCRACACAAGGTCTTTATTGAAAAGACAAAAACACTTCTCTTGGAAATTCAGAGAAAGAATATTTGAAACTACTTTCTTTCTAGGGTGCCAGTTAAGTTTTCTTTGTATAGTTCTGTAAAAAAATAATTGAAAGTTGTTATACTTTTATATTGTAATTTTATTCGAAATTGTAGTTGCCTTGAAGTTAAGGAATCAAATGAGAAGTTTTAAAT